CAGGAAAGAAGAAACCCTTACAGTAAACAAAGTTTGGCTACCAGTCCTACAAAATAGAAAAATCAGCGCTCAGCAAATGCAAATGAGAAACCACCCAGGGTCAGGGGCTTTCTTTGTGGACAATGATCATCAATTAGCAGTCACTAATCCTCGTTTGCATATCCTCCCACCCTGAGGCCCTGCCATCAACAACAGAACAATACACAGTTTACATGGGAATCACTCTGCCCTACCCAGGGTCTCACAGTATATATATACCCACTCTCTTCCATTCCAGTATTCTCTGAAGATGCCAGCCACAGATGCTGGCAAAACGTCAGAAAGAAACTCTTCTAGAACATAGCCATACAGCCTGGAAAACCCACAAAAAACTATGGATGCCACCCATTAAAGCCTTTGACTTCACAGACAGGTAGAACCTTTTCCTCCCTGAGACCTGTATGTCCTCGAGGCGAAGTGGCTAGAGGTGGGAATGCTGGCCAATAGTGGGTGGACTAAATCCCAAAGTGGCCAAGGCAAACATATATACATTTTGCCAGCTCATGTCCCCTCCTCTCATACAAGAAACATTTTTATGATCTCCTAACAATAAAAACTTTGGATTTGGGTGGAAAACTAGTGGCCCTCCAAATGTCTTTAGAGTACAAAAAACCAGCCAACACAGCTAATTAAAAACACCAAAGCATTTCAGAAGAAAGTCATCATATAATCATAGATTATAGCAAAACCTTAGATAGTGTTCACCATCGTCATCATCAACAACAACTATTATGGCTCATTCTAAAAGAAATGGGTGGGCCACAACATTTGGTTATTCTGATGTGCGATCTGTAACTGTGGACAAGAGAAAACTGTCAGGACAGAATATGGAATGGTTTCCTATTGACAAGGAAGTCAGGCAGGGCTACATTTTACATAATTTCTGTTTAATTTATATGCAGAGCATACAGAAAGTGGAATTAGACTCAGAGGAAGGAGAAGTGGAAGTAACATCAAGAATGTAAGATATGCACATGATGCCATATTGCTAGCAGAAAACAGCCACAACTTGGAACAACTACTGATGAACATTAAGGAAGAAAGGTTAAAGCAGGGTTACAATAGCTGAACATTAAGAAAACAAAAATAATGACTACTGAAGGTTTAGCTAACTTTAAAGTGGATGATGATGACATTGAAATAGTTAAAGCTTTCCTATGCCTTGCCTCATTAAGCAAAATGGTGACTATAGCCAGGAGATCTGAAGAAGACTCAGATTTGGAAAGGCTGCTATGAAGGAACTGAATAAGATTATCAAGTATAAAGATATATAATTAAATATCAAAATCAGAAGCAACCATGCCATAGCATTTCCTGTTGCTAAGTATGGATGTGAGAACTAAGCAGTAATGAAAGGTGATGGGGGGGGGGGACTAGTTTGAAATTTGGCACTTGAAGAGAGTTGTAAGAATACCATTGACTACCAAAATACAAATAAATGGATTCCTGAGCAAACTTGAACTCTCTCTATACTAAACAATGACTAAACTGAGGCTATCATACTTGGAGCATATGATTAGATGTCATGAATCACTAGAAAAATGAAAGTGCTAATACTCATAAGCACTGGGAAAAGAGAAAGAGGCCATTATAGATGGAATGACTGAAAAAAGGAAGCTTGCAAGACCTGAGCAGGGCAGTTCATGACCTGTGGGATCATCTCATGCATAGGGTTGCTGTAAGTTTCACTAATGGCAAATAACAACATGAAATAGGTCCCCCACCCTTGCTCTTGGTGGATAGTATCTCAGCCAATGGGGTTACAAAAGTTTTAACATTTGTTTGCCACTCATTCTGGTGCTTCATTGCAAAAAAAGAGAGTTATTAAACTGTCAGCCTACAACAGTTCCATCATCTCTCATGTCCTGCTTTTCCAGAGTAAAGATGGCTATCAAGGGGGAAAAAAATTGCTTTAGACTCCGTGCTTGTCAAATGTGGCCATGCTGGGAAGGGCATTCAAGAAGCACTAGTCCAAAGTAACTTCTTCCACCTTCAGTGGTGCTTTATTTCTCAATGATTCCCATGTGTGAGATTACTTCATTCAGAAAGCTGGGTATTCACAACAACCTGCATTGAGTTGGCTCAAAGAAGGCAAAGCAGGACCAAAATAGTTGTCTGTATTGTTCTTCAACGTTTCTTTTTTGCTTTCTTTATTGGATTTTAATTTTGGCTTTCTCCCAAAGAATGGCATCCTTGGACTGTTGTAATAGTAGAAGTAGGAGTAGAATAGTAGAAGTAGGAGAACAGGATTATATGACTGTTCTCCTGCTTCTGCACTGGATTCTTTCTTTTTCCCTCCTCCTCTATTTATTTATTGTCAATATTTGGTGTTCTTTTTAATGGTTTGTTTAATGCCTTTTTCTCAGACTGAGTGCTCAAGGCAGCACACAACAGCTAAAATGGATACAACTGAAAAAATACATTGTATAAAAGTTAAAAGTTAAAAGTTAAAAGTATAAGCAAATTATTAATAAAATTAAAAGTAGCTAAAAGCAACCCATTAAAAAAGCAACAAATACAAACAATGTAGCACATGCAAGTTCTTTTCTTGCTAAAACTTGGATGCACTCCTGCGCACTGTTGAAACATGGGATTCCAGGCTTGGGATTGATGTGAATGTAACTCTGTCCATAGCACAGATTGAATTCTTATTCCCAGATCTGTTTTTACCTGACCAGGAGCACCTCTTTGTCTGCCCTGATCCACTCAATTACAGATGATAGTCACCAGGTTAAAACAAAGACAGCTTTCTTTAACTGAAGTAGAAAGGGGTAAATGCACCAGTGTCCAAATG